TAGACTTTACTTTCGTAACCCCATTGAATAACAGTGGACTTGTACTGTAATAATGGTGGTGACCAATCAGATCATTGTTATTATTATTCCACGGTGATCTATTGTATAAGAAAGCTCAATTTTGAAAGAAAAATAAATTAATAATAATTCATTCAACAAATTTGTTTATTCATTTTAATTATTACCAAGTTACATACAGTGGGTTACTCAAACTCCGATAAAAATTACATAAATATTTTTAAAATTATAAAAAGTTATTTTTTGTCAAATAATATGCATTCAGTATGGACACCAAATAACCTGATTTAGAACCTAATTGTTAGATGTATGTTAACAGGGATATGTACAGGGTTGTTACTAAACACCTATACAATTTGGGAGGCTTGGAATTTGGACACCCAGAATTATTTTTTGATGATTCCTTTCCTAATTTGTAGAGGAAGAGTTAGATTTTTATTTGATATATAATTTGTCTAGAATATGTTTGTAGAAAAAACTTTATTATCTCTTTTTTTCAAGAGCCGTAGAATTTTTTGGCTATTTTGAAGCATTATTACATAGAAAACGATTTTTACATAGAAAAATAATTCATTATAAAAGTTTTTCTACAAATATAATCTGGACAAATTTTATATAAAATAAAAATCTAACTCTTCCTCTACAAATTAGAGAAGGAAACATCAAAAAATAATTCAGGGTGTCCAAATGCCAAGCCTCCCAAATTGTATAGGTGTTTAGTAACAACTCTGTACATGTATAACATATCTAAGCACAATAAGTGTAGTGAGCAGAGCTCCGGGAATAGTTATTAGTTATTAGTAACAACGGTTATTATCTATGTATAGTTCATAATGACTAATAAACGTACCAAAATTGTGCACTTATAGAATGAGTTATGATTTACGTATGTAGAAATGATTTACTAGTACATTTAGTCTATCATATTATTACATCTATGACTTATCTAAATTGATTAATATAAAATTTCTACAACAAGTGAAAGGTTTTTCATACCACTAACCGAGTGATAATTGATATGAGTAGATTAAATATTTGCTATATAAATTGATTCATAAATAAAAAAATAATAATGTTTATAATTATTAAAAATGATGTTGGTTCAAGTTTTATTAGGAGTTACTTTAACTATATATCTTGTTCACGGTAGCCAAATTGACTACATAAATAGTTTTGGTACTACATGGAAGGTTTGTAATCTATTAAATGAGCATATATATTTAATATATTAATATTATTCATAGGCTGGTAAAAACTTTGAAAAAGGCTCTGAACCTGCGCTAGGTCTGGCACCCGGTTATGAGCCACTACCACCAAGCATTACTTATGATATTGCTGATAAGGACATACCAGAGAACTTTGATGCCCGGGTACAATGGCCCGCTTGTTACACCATTAAAGAGATTAGAAATCAAGGGTGTTGTGGTATGAAATTGATTTTAAAAATAGATTATACATAATTTGCAGTAGATTATGAAATTATTTTACTAGTTAAGCTATATATTTTATATTACACGCAAATTATATTATTAACTTAAATGTGAAATTAAATTATTTTTTTAGAATTAAAAATATTTAAGCCATTTATTTAAACTTTAAATTATTATTTAAACAACATTACTGTAGAATATTTAAAAATTATACATTAATTATTTACACAATTAAAGCAAAAATATTATTTATTTTATGAACAAAATTGCAATTTTGATTAAAAAATTATTTGAATTTCTAAATTTTATAAAATAATCAGGATCATGTTGGGCAGTCTCTGCAGCGGAAGTCATATCTGATCGCATATGTATCGCATCGAAGGGTAAACAACAAGTAGAGGTCTCTGCGGTAGATATCCTAACTTGTAGTGGAGCCGGAAATTGTAGTTATGGTTATCCTAGCGGTGCGTTTGACTATTATGTACAGTCAGGTGTGATCAGCGGGGGTGAAGTGGGTAGTCATAAGGGTTGTCAGCCCTACACCATAATAGGTGACCACCCGTGCGCTTCGACCGTACCGACCCCTAAGTGTCAGAAGTCGTGTATCACGGGCTATAACCGTACGTACACTCAGGACAAGAATTTTGGTAGTAAATCCTATGGCGTTGATCTTAAGGATGTCCAGAAAGAGATTATGACAAATGGACCTGTGGCAGCTGGATTCACTGTAAGTTAAATAGCCAGCTAAATTATATATATTTTAAAAATAATACTATTTTTTCAAATATGAAACTTATTACTACAGCATAGTAGATTGAATTGAGTTAATTTAGGATTCGCAATAAATTTAATTTATAAAATTAAAATAATTAATTTATATAACAATTACCTAGGTCTATGAAGACTTTTACGCATACAAATCGGGTGTCTATCAGCACGTGACCGGAAAGCAAAATGGAGGTCACGGGGTCAAGCTTATGGGCTGGGGTGTGGATAATGGTGTGAAATACTGGTTGGTGGCTAACTCGTGGGGCACCGTGTTTGGTGAGCAAGGGTATTTTAAAATTAAACGCGGCAATAACGAGTGCGGATTTGAGGGTGGTTTCGATGCCGTAACTCCGATGTTAGAGTTGTAAGTAGCTTGATATTAATATATAATAGTAATTTATTTAAAATGTGAACATAAATAAATAAATTTTACATTGAATGTACAAATAAACTTTTTCTATTGTACTGTACATGATTATATAACTGAGTTGGTCATTTTACGATGTATCTTAAGTTTTTAAAACTCAATTAAAATTAATCGTACATGCACAATTATTTAATTTTATTTTTATAAATTTGTTGAACAATTTTAATAAACTTAAATATTAATTATTTATAAGTTTATTTTCTTCACTATTAACAAAATCTGTCCTTGATAGCATAAGTGACCAAGTACTTCTTAGTAAAATACTAAAAAATAAGATGATAAAAACATTTTCATTTATATCTATTGTTTCAATACAATTTGGAAATAATGGTACAGTGCTAATTTAATAAAAACATCCTCTAAATAAAGATACGATAATAAGTTAAAATAGTTAATTTATTTTTATAGATTAAAATGATTATTTTATTAAATAAAAATACAGTATACTATATCACCTATGTCGAGTGACAATGAAAAATAGAAAATTTCTACAAAAAGTGATAAGTTTTTCATACCACCAGCCGAGTGATAATTGAAGTGGGTAGATTATGTAACTATCAATACTATATAAATTGAAGCGTAATCAAAAAATATATATAAATATATAAAAAGTTCTTAATTATTAAAAAAAATAATGTTGGTTCAAGTTTTCTTAGGAGTTACTTTAACAGTCTGCCTTGCTCACGGGAGTCAAATTGACTACATAAATAGTTTGGGTACTACATGGCAGGTTTGTAATATATTTTTAAATTTTATATTATGTGATCGATTATTATTATATTATAATATTAATATAATTCATAGGCTGGTAAAAACTTTGAAAAAGGATTTGAACCAGCACTGGGTCTGGCACCCGGTTATAAGCCACTACCACCAAGCTCAGACATTACTTATGATATCGCTGATGAGGACGTACCTGAAGACTATGATCCCCGGATTCACCTTAAATACTGTTACACCGTTAAGGAGATTAGAAATCAAGGGTGTTGTGGTATGTAATTAATTTTGAAAATAAATAATTTATTGATCATGTTACTATAATATTAAATGAGTTTAGAAGTTATTAGGTATGTGTTACAATTTTTGAAAATAAAATTATTAACTTATGCTCAAATTTAAATGTTAATTTAAATTATTAAAAATATTTGAGCTATTTATTTAAATAATTTAATAATTTTATAATTGTTATTTTTTGTTATAGATAAAAATATGTTCATTATAAATATATAATTTAGACATAAATATAAAAATTATTTTATAAAAAATTTTTTATTGGAAAATATTTTATATTTAATTATTTCTAAATAAATTTAACAATATTGGTCAGGGTCATGTTGGGCATTCTCTGCAGCCGAGGTCATATCCGACCGCATATGCATTGCATCCGGAAACAGGCAACAGGTAGAGGTCTCTGCCGAAGATGTCTTAACCTGCAGTGGCGCCGGTAGTTGCCAGGGTGGTTGGCCTAGTGCTGTGTTTGACTACTATATCAAATCAGGTGTAATCACCGGAGGTCTAGTGAACAGTCATGAGGGTTGTCAGCCCTACACCATAATCGGTGACCACCCGTGCGCGTCGTACGTACCGACCCCTAAGTGTCAAAAGTCGTGTATCGCGGGCTATAACCGTACGTACACTCAGGACAAACACTTTGGTAGTAAAGCATATGGCGTAAGCCTTAAAGATGTTCAGAAAGAGCTCATGACAAATGGACCTGTGTCAGCTATGTTTACAGTAAGCCATAAAGTTTTAATTATTTAACATGATTATTTGCTAATAATTTATAGACAGATAAATGATAGAAAATATTACGAAAATTATAATTGTTTGTAGCCTAGGAGTAATTTATATAAACTATAATAGTTTTTTAAAAACGTATTTGCAGGGTGATGATACTAAATAATATGTTAGTACTATATATCGAAATAAATAAAACTTAATAAATCAGTTGTCAAAAGTAAATACTTATATAAATTAATTAAAAGAATTCTTATGTTTAGTATTATTTGCATTTGCATTAATGTCCATTTATATTTCACCTAGGTATACAACGACTTTTTCTCATACAAAACCGGTGTCTATCAGCACGTGACCGGTGAGGCAAAAGGACTGCACGCCGTCAAGCTTATGGGTTGGGGTGTGGATAATGGTGTGAAATACTGGTTGGTGGCTAACTCGTGGGGCACCGTGTTTGGTGACCATGGTTATTTCAAAATTAAACGAGGCAATGACGAGTGCGGATTTGAGGGTGGTTTCGATGCCGTAACACCAAAATTAGAGTAAATTATAACTTGATGTAAATTATTTTTGTTGACCAGTTTAAATAAAAATTATCATTGTTGATTAAATGTTGGTATTTTATTTTTATTTATAACAGTTTATTTGTAAATATAATCTGACAAGATCGTTATGTAATAAAGTAGGTTTAAATTAATTTTAAATAAATTAGCATATTTGCTATGATAATTTTTGAAATAATTATTAACAAATATTAGTAAAATATATTTCACTAATAAATACTGTACTAGTAAATGTGTTTTAATAATTTTAAAATAATTATAAAAAATATACACAAAATTTTAAAATATGTGTAATATCTTTTTATAGATTATAACTTTATAAAAAATAATAACTAATTTTGTATTACCTTGTAAAAAAATATTATATAAAACAAAACAATAATTAAGCAACTAAAATTATTATACCAATAATTGCATTTCAATTATGAAATAAAAAAGTCATTATTACAGAATATTATCCCAACATATAAAACATATTGATCAAACTAGATTGTTCATAGTGAAGTACAGTTTCCAGAAATTTTTTTAGTATTACCTGAGTCAATTATCAATAAAAAAAATATATCTAAATTCTACAAAAAGATAAATGTTTTCGTACCACCAACAAAGTGATAAAACAAATGTATAGATTACACAAAATGAAAAATAAACATTGTATTGTCTATAAAAAACAATTTTAAAAATTGTATTATAAAATACAACAATGCTTGCACAAATATTATTTTGTTGTTACTTAGCGGTGGACCTAGCTCATGGTGCTAATGTTAACCGTATCGTTGATTACATTAACAATTTGGACACAACATGGAAAGTATGTTATATTTATTTTATTTTTTCACTATGTACTGTATATTAATATTTATTTATTTATTAGGCTGGATACAACTTTGAAAGTGATTTCAAACCTAAATTAGGACTAATACCTGGATATAAACCACTCGCACCTACTTCAGAGGTAACTTATGATATTTTTGATGAGGACATACCCGAGTCATTTGATCCCCGGCAACAATGGACCGATTGTTACACCGTTAAAGAGGTTAGAGATCAGGGATGTTGTGGTAAGTCATAAATTATAATCAATTATAAATACAATATGTATGTTAGGCTATAAATTTAAAAACCTCTTACAATATTATTAAAATAAATACATAAGATAAAATTTTAACAAATAAGATTTTTGTAAAATAAGATAAGTTAGCTAGTTTTATAAACTATATTTATGCTTTGTTTTATAAATTATAAAATAAAATTATTATTATTATACAAATATGACCAGGTTCGTGTTGGGCATTTTCGACTGCAGAGGTTATATCCGATCGCATTTGTGTTGCCTCGAAGGGTAAACAACAGGTAGAGGTCTCTGCCGAAGATGTACTAACCTGTGGTGGGGCGGGTGATTGCAATGGGGGTTCACCTCGCGCTGTGTTTAGCTATTATATCAAGTCGGGTGTGATCAGTGGTGGACTGGTAGGCAGTCATAAAGGGTGTCAGCCATACACTATTGCCCATACCAGCCCGTGCCCTATCGACATACCTACCCCTAAATGCGAGCGATCTTGTATTGAAGGTTATAACCGTACGTACACTCAGGATAAACACTTTGGTAGTAAATCCTATGGTGTAAGTGTTAAGGATGTCCAGAAAGAACTCATGACTAATGGACCTGTGTCAGCCACATTTATTGTATGTACCATGATATAATATTATATTTTTAAATATTAATATTTTGAACAATTTAATAAATTCGTAATTTATCGATTAAGTCAGGTTAGGGTAATCACATTTTAATTTTATATGCATTCAAAAATCAAGTACGTTAGTGTGAAAGTATATGGACATATTTGAAAAACGTACTTATTGGATGACCTAATAATATTTAGTAAATTTGTGTATAAATAAATTTATATACATTACTTAAACTAACAATATTATAATTTTTAAAATCCTGTTACTAGGTGTACAACGACTTTTACTCATACAAAACCGGTGTCTACCAGCACGTGACCGGTGGTATAGAGGGACTACATGCTGTAAAACTTATGGGTTGGGGCGTGGAAAATGGGGTCGACTACTGGTTGGTGGCTAACTCGTGGGGTACCGTATTTGGGCAGCAAGGTTATTTTAAAATTAAACGCGGCAATAATGAATGTGGGTTTGAGTATGGTTTCGATGCCGTAACCCCTAAGTTATAGATATTGATTAAATAAATTTTATAAATCTATATTAGTTATAAGAAAATAAATAAGCCAAAAATAGAATTTAAGTTTTAAGATATTATTTTATATTTTAATTACAAATTTTCAAATACAGATTAAAAAACAAGCAGCATACAAATAATTACTGTTACTTGTCATATAAACAATTATAAAACATACTTATATTTACTATATAACAATATCATTTTAATAATTAACACACTTTTTATATAATAATACGTGAATTAAATGTTAATATATTTTGTGATAAACTCTCAGATATTATAAAGAAGTGTTTCAATACTTTGGCACCGATTGAGAAAAAAAGTTTCAAACATAAAGAAAACTGTTTTTTCACTGAAGAGATCAAAAATATTAGGTGAAACAGAAAGTCCGTGGAACAATTCATTTTAATATATCTCCCAAAGTTCAAATGACAGAGAATATTGCTATATATCATTCATCGACATATTTACCCCTGCTAAGG